TTCAGTTCAGCTCTTTTATCTTGTCATTTCTTCCATTTGTTTTAGTACTCCGTATGTAAGTTTCAGAGTCTCTTCTGACATGCATTTTGGTCTTTTCTTCCTTTCCTGTCTTTTTTATGAGGTTTTGCTTTCTTCATGGTGGTGGTGGTCTTTTTTTTTTTTTTTTTTTTTTGAGGTTCTTGATATCATCCCACAATTCCTCTGGTTTTCAGTCTTTGGTGTTTAGTGCATCAAATCTATTCTTTAGATGGTCTCTAAATTCAGGAGGGATATAGTCAAGGTCATATTTTACTCTTGTGGACTTGTTTTAACTGTCTTCAGCTTCAACTTGAGTTTGCATGTAAGCGGTTGATGGTCTCTTCCACAGTCAGCTCCTTGCCTTATTTTGGCTGGAGATACTGAGCTTCTCCATTGCCTCTTTCCACAGATATAGTTGATATGATTCACGTATATTCCATCTGGCGAAGTCTACATCTATAGCCACTGTTTATATTATTGAAAAAAGGTATTTGTGATGAATAAATTGTTGGTCTTGCAAAATTCTGTCATGTGATCTCCAGTGTCATTTCTATCACCAAAGCCATATTATATTCCAGCTACTGGCGATTTTTTTTTTGTCTCCAGCTTTCACATTCTGATCACCAGTGATAATCAACACCATTTCGGACTGCAGAAGTTGATAAAAATCTTCAATTTCCTTGTCTTTGGCTTGGTGGTTGGTGTGTAAATTTGAGTAATAGTAGTAATATATGAACTGGTTTTCCTTGTAGGTGTATGGATATTATCTTGTCACTGACAGCATTGTACTTCAGGATAGAGTTTGACAGATTCTTTATGATGATGAATGCCATGCCATTCTTCTTTAATTTGTCATTTCCACTATAGTGGATCATATGGTTATCTGATTCAGAATGGGCCAGACCAGTCCATTTTAGCTCACTGATGCCTAAGATGTCAATCTTTATGCCTTCCATTTTATTTTTGACAACTTCCAGTTTTCCTAGATTCATACTTTGTGCATTCCACCTTCTGATTATTTGTTGATATTTGTACCTGTTTCTTCCCATTTTGAGTCGTGTCACATCAGCACATGGAGGTCCCAGAGGCTTTTCTCTATCCACATCATTAAGGTCGGCTCTACTCTGAGGAGGCAGCCCTTCCGCTGTTGTATTTTGAATGCCTTCCTCCCTAGGGCCTTACCTTCCAGCACTACATCAGACAGTGTTTCAGGGCTATTCACAAAGTTTTCCAGTAATATATCAGACAGTGTTTCCCTGCTATTCATAAGGTTTTCACTGGCCAATTCTTTGAGAGATGTATGGCCCCTTCCTTCTTCTGAGTCTGTCTTAGTCTGGAAGCTCTGCTGAAACCTGTCCACCATGGGTGACCCCCAATATTTTTGTGAATTCTGCTTGTCATATTGATCTCCAAAAGATTTTACGATTTGATAGTATGTTTATAAAGGATTTTATTCTCTTCAAATTTTAAGATAGATCATTATCTTGATGAACTCTGTACGCTTTAGAGTACTTTAGACCCTGCTGATACTTGAAATTCCAGTGGCGTAGGCTCCAGCCTCACAGCAACAGGTAAGCCACCACAGTATGACAAACTGACAGACAAGTGCTGAGGCACTAGGAGACTATTACAGTGGTATGGTCTAGATCAGGAGCTCTGGTAGTGTAGTGCCTAGCACTTGACTGCTAACCAGAAGGCTGACGGTTCAAACCCACCAGCCACTCCTTGGAAGGAAGGTTGGGACAATCTACTTCTGTAGTGATACCGCCTCGGAAACCTAAGGAGGGGTCGCTGTGAGTCGGGTCCAACTCGGTGGCAAATAACAACAACAACAATAGTGTAGATCAGAGATGGTGGTGGTTTAGAGTGTTAGCTGTGGAAGTAATAAAAAGTCAGGTGCATGGTACCTTTTTAACATAGAGCTAGCAGGATATGCTGACCCACTGAAGGTGGGACATGAAAAGAGAGGAGTGAAGGATGGTTCTAGAGTTTTAGGCTTGAGCAGCTGGGTGATTGGAAGTTACTTTTACTGGGAATACCCTGGGAGGAGGAACTTTTTTCTTTTTTTGCCAGAGTATAGATGGATGTAATCAGTGCTTATTTTGGTTAAGTTACGTTTGAGGAAGGAGCAAAGTTTTTAAAGCTCTCAACAGCTAACCAAAAAAGATCAGTGATTTGGATCCACTAGCTGCTTCACAAGAGAAAGATGTGATTACCTTCCATGACAGTTTACAGCCTCAGAAATCCTATGAGGCAGTTCTACACTTCCCTGTAGAGTTGCTATGAGTTGGAATCAACTTCACAGCAGTGGGTTTATGTTTGAGATATGTTGGTTACTTCAGAGATATTGTAGAGACATTCAGGTTAAGTCTCCTGGGGATTAAATAAGAGCATGGGCTGGGGATAATGTACGTTTGGGAGTTACTGGAATATAGATAGGACTGGACTAGATTGCCTTGGGCAGATTGATTGTAGACAGGAGAAATGGGAAGACTGGCCCACCAACATGTGCAGAAAGTTATGCAAGAAGAGGAGACTGTATCAAGAAGATTGACTGATGAGATAAGATGTAATGTACCATCAGTTAAGTGAGGAGGAAGGGAGGCATTGAAGAAGGGGAAAGGGATCAGCTTTGTCAGATGCTAAGAAAGAATAAAATTGTTGTTGTTGGTATGTGCCCTCGAGTCACACTCAACTCATAGGACCCCTCCTTGGATTTCTGAGGCCGTATCACTACGGAAGTAGATTGCCCCAAAATGAGACATGATAATTGTCAGAATTTGGCTTGGTTAAATCCTGCTGATTCTGCCTTTGCAGTAGCTCTTAAATTAATACATACCTTTTCACTACCTGCCAACAAGCACTACTCATTAGGCTTTTATTGTTTTTTTTCCCTAAACTTTCCTTTTCCTTTTTTGAATAGTTTTTTTATCTCCTGGATTACAGTATAAAATACATATGCCCTGTTGAAAATTTGGAAAATACAGAGACAAGTGTAAAGAAGATTAAAAAACAAACAAAATTCCTTATCCACCTTTTCCCTAGAGATAATTACAGATGGCGCTGTAATGCATCTTTTCTATTCATTTTTATCTATGCATCTTTGTAATGTTGCATAAATTGTATTTAGGCAATTCTTGGATTACAAATTTATTCTGTTCCTAGAATAAGTCTTTAAGTCAAATTTGTATCTAAATCAGAACAGTTAGGTACTGTTTCTATTTAATGTCAGTTAGTCTGTTGTTCATCTTAGTGTATATAGTGTACCTTTCTATGCATAAAACACATTAAAGAAACACTTCCAGATACACTAAAACATGTTTAACATAATTATATGGTAATGGTAATAATAATGTTTCGATGTGCATGTTGCAAAGTATTGGCCATTTGTTATTAGGAACCATTGTATGTACCTAAAATTTTTAATATAATAGGCCTTAAGGGGCTACTTTATAACTACTGGTTCCATGTAAGTCAGAGGTTTGTGACTCAGAGACTGCCTGTATATGCTTTCATATGTATATGACACCTAACAACAAGATGTTTTTATATAGAATTGAGAGTAAAAGTTTTAAATTTGGCTTTTAAAAATGAGTGTGGTAGAAATGTTAGATGTCTATAGCAATATAAATACTCTATTGTAGTGGTCTAACTGAATTCCCACCTAACAAGGAACACTTTCCTGATGAGCAGTTTTCTTCGTTATCCTTTTTTCTCTTCTGCTCTTTATCATTTTATCTTGGTCGGATTTTGCCAGCAGTTTTGTGAATTCTGCTTGTTAGATTGATCTCCAGAAGACTGTAGAATTTGAAAGTGTATTTTTAAATAATTTTGTTCTCTTTAGATTTTAAGATAGACCATTATCTTGTTGAACTCTTTTAAATGAAGTTCTTGACTACAAAATGAGGACTAGATAACTTAAAGTTCCTAACAATCCCAGGATAAAGGTAGTCATTAACATTTGGATAGTGCTCTAAAGTGTACAAAGTGAGTTTTTCTGCATCTTCTTATTTGAGCTCACAATAGCCCTGTAAAGTTAGATAGGACAGATACTGTTACTTTCATTTTAAAGAACCTAATAGAGAAGTTGAATGACTTAACAGGGATTTGAATGCAGGCCTTCTGGTCAGAATAATTACCTTCTTTTTTTTATAAAATTTCATACAGTTGTACCTTTAAAATTGCTTGTAAATGTTGACTAGTTAGTGGCATTTGTTTTATACTGAAATGAAACCAATATTAAAACAACTAAACCCACTATCATCGAGTTGATTGTGACTCATAGGGGTCCTATGGGACACTGTAGAACTGCTCCATAGGGTTTCCTAGACTGTAAGTTTTTACAGAAGCGGATTGCTTCACTTTCCTCCAGTGGAGCAGCTGGTGATTTCCAGCTGCCACCTTTCTGGTTAGCAGCTGAATGCTGTGACCACTGGCCACCAGAGCTCCTATGACAATATCTCTCCCAATCTCCTTCTGTGTTTTTCATTTCTCTTTTTGTGTATGTGTGTGGATACACTCAAAAGTATATCCACATTGTTTACTCTCACATGTAGCATGAAGGATCCCAGTTTGAACTAGACTTTTTTTGGTACTTGTATGAACCTAGCATCACAAGCTTTGCAAGACACTGAACTCTTTTGTACTTTTGTAACCAAAATTGGGATGATTTAGGTGTGGTCATCTGTGATATTCACAAAAAGACAGTGAATGATAGGTGAGAGTGATGGTTGAGGTTTAACCAAGAAGATTATAACTAATCTTTCCTTCACCTAGCTACCTCATGAGATAGACGATTATAAAATTGAATTGATTTGGGAGCTTTGTAGTGGCAATATCATCATATACGTTAGAAACAGACCTAGATTTGCAGCACATTGTATTTATTACATTAAAATGGTCTCAAAATATTTTCTATACCACCTTTAAATACTACATATCCCCCCAGAATTAATTTTTTTGTTGTTATTTTTTTTTTCTAGTTGTTGGTCTTGACGATATTATGGATGAAGGAGTTGTTAAAGAAAGTGGCAATGATACCATTGATGAAGAAGAACTGATTTTACCTAACAGGAATTTGAGGGACAAAGTAGAAGAAAATTCAGTAAGATCACCAAGAAAATCACCTCGTTTAATGGCACAAGGTAATCCTTCCAAAGAGGTCTAGCTAGAAAATCAGAAGTGTAGGGACAGATGTGTTAGGTTATATACTTGCTGAGCAGAGATCATATTTTCTTGATGTTTGCTAGTGTGAGAATTATTGATACTAATCCATTTGGAGATTATATCAATACCTTGGTATTAATTCCAAAATTTTTATTGAAATTAAGCATTTATGTAATTTAAAGATTTGACTACTTCTATAATATTTGTTAAGGAAAATACCAGTTTTCAGTTCTTACCACCCATTTTTCCTTCCTCAGAGGAAACCACTGTTACATCTTCCAGGGTTTTTTTTTTTTTTTTCGTTTGTATGTTTCTAAATAACATGCCTCTATTGCTACTTTTCTGTTATTCTAGTTTAGGTATTAATTTCTTAACTTCTCACTAGAATGATGAGGATTTAGCACTCTTTCCCTCTCTTATCCTAGTCATACAGAAGTACATTTTTTCATCTTTCAGTATATTTTGTTAGATTAGTAGTAATTATTTATATTTTGACTATATATGCTTTTAGAGGAGTCATGTAATAAACTATTCTTTTCCTGTACTACTACCATTTGTTTTTCTAATTTAATTGCTTTTGGTTTTCATTTGCTTAGTTTTCTATGTACTTAGTTGTAGTTATCCTTCACCTTCTTTTCCAGTTAGCTAAATCTTCCCTAATGATGTTTATTCTGTCATTTATTTTGTCAATTTCATTTCACTGAAGAGGTATCTCTTACAGTCTTCTGATTCTCTCCAGTGTGGGTTAGTGGTAGCCTATTAAGCCTGATACATAGCTGGTATCCAGGGATCTCCCTTTACCATTCTTCTTAGCAATCTGTGCTTTGTGTTTAGTTGTATTTTCTATTTCTACTTTCTTAGTTTAATTCCTTCATTTTGATGACACATCTCTTCTAGTAGCTTCCTGAGAAAAAGGACCATTGAGATATATTTTGAAACTTTGCATGTCTGCAAATGTTGTTAATCTATCTTCACACTACAGTCATGGTCCAGTTGGACATAGAACTCAAGATTGGAAGTCATTTTCCTTCAGAAATTTGAAGGTGGTGTTCTACATTCTTCTAAGTTTGGTGTATCATTCCTCTCACTTCCCCACCCCTTTCCCTTTGTTATATTGCCTATTTTTTTCTAAAAGTTTGTGGTATTTTCCCCTTTAGCTCCAGTGTTTTGATAGTTCATGATAATGTATCTTGGTGTGCATATATTTTGTGTATTGAGCTGGGTACTCGGTAGGCCCTTTTAGTTTGAAAACTATCATTGTTTGATTCTGGGAAAATATTGAATTATTTCATAGATGATTCCCCCTCTTTATTTTATCAGCTCTTGCTTTCTGGAGCTCCTCTTATTCACATGTTTGCTAACATGGACTGCCCCTCTGACTTTCTTTATTTGCTTCTTTCATCTTTTTGTCTTTTTGCTCTACCTACTGAAATTTTTTCATCTTTATCCTCCAACCTTTCTATCAAGTTTTGCATTTCTAATTTATAGATGTTCTTTTTTTGGGAGGGGGGTGGTTTATTTTTATGTCATCTTGTTCTTGTTTCATGGATCATTATCTTTTGTTTCTTAAGATGCCATGGTATTTTAATTTACTTTCAATGTTTCTCTTTACTCCATGTTGTACTTTTTTTTTTTTTTTTAAATTGTTTCCTGACTTCCATCCTTCATATTAAGTACTTTCCAAAATACCTGCTTCTTTGTTGTTAGCCAATGTTTAAGGGTAGGAACTAAAACTTAGGAATCTCTAAGTATTATATGGATTGGGCTTTATCAGTTATGAACTTCATAGTTTGGTGATGTGGCTGCACTTTTTTTGAGGGGGCAACATGGGGACCTCTGATGTTAAGCTCATTAGATTGCTATTAAGTGAACAATAAATTACTTACTTGTTCTGAGAGTTATTGAGGAAAACTATCTGGGGGCATCTCTGCTGTCTGATTATACAAATTCATTAATCTCAAAAATTTTTGTATACTTTACTGCCATTCTCAACTGTGCCTGTTGTTTCCTAGTCTAGAAACGCTGGTGTTACTTTTTCTAGAGAATAAGCCTCCCGTCTTGGGTTGGACTGTGGAAGAGAAGTTGTTCAACAGGTGGAGTGGGTGAGAGGGATCTAGAGATCTAACAGTTCGTTAAATAACTTTCAATCCATCCTCCTTTTAACTGTCTGCCTTTATCCCCCCTTCAGAAGCATTTGGGGCTTCCTATTCCTAAATTTTTGAGGATTCTGTGGTGTTAATGGTGCTGGTTCTTGCCACACCACCTGTTTAGTGTTTATGCGTCATTTGAATCTCCTACATCAGTTACATCTTGACGATCTGTTATTTGACTTCCAAAATTTGTCACTATTTACTCTATCTTGTTCTCCTTTTCTTTTTGGAAAATACCTCTTTTCAAGAGAACCTTCTACTGTAGCTTTAGTGAAGTTTCTAGAAATGAAAAACTTAGATGCATTTGGTATCTAATTGTGACTTTGAGAAAGGAAATAAATAGAGTGAACATTATACACAAATAGTGATAATTTTGAGCCCATGCTGTCAGGCTTCAAACTAATGCAGTTTATATTCAGAAGAGAAAAAAATGACTTTATCCTTTACTCAGTAAATTAATTACTATTGGAAAAAGCAGTTGAATAGGCTGTTCGTTTGTCATTTTAGCAAGGGGTGTTCAAAGCTCTTCCTTTATTTCCAGGCTGATGAACAAAGTAGAACTGTGAATTTATTGCACACTGTCTTCAAAGCTTTAAAAATCATGTAAATATTGATAATCTTCATTTACGTTTTAGTTACTTTAAAAATGTTAATATCCTACATCTGAGCATGTGATAACAGTTCATAATTCACTAAGTAATTTTAAAAAGTTGTTGAATATCTAATGGGCTAAGTCCCGGTGGAATTAGAACAGTTTCTTAAGATTAGGACAACCATATAATTTATTGTCCAAACTGGACACTTTTGAGAGTGAAAGGGTGCTATTAATTAGAATTTCAAACATTACCTGGGACTGTTCCAGGCAAATGAGGATGTATGGTACTGTAAGTTTCTCATAATAAATGACAAACCAGAGAAATACTCTTAATTTTGGTAGATAAAATAGGGTTTTTACTTTTTTTTTTTTAATTATAGTTTCAAATGTGGAATTGATTTAGGAACGTTGGGTGTACATAGTCTTGGAACAACTTCGTATTTGTATTTTAGTTTGTGAGCAGTTTTTCTAATTAGTGAGTTGTTCAACTGTTTTTTCCTACTTTATTTTTACTCTGTGTTTTCTTTCTCCTATATATGTATCAGGATAAGGAAAGGAGGAAATACATTTAATAGATTCTTTGTTAAGAATACTGTTAAAAGTAGGAAGTTTAATTAAATTATTTCCATACTTTCTTTGTTTTCTCTTATGGTCATTTTCTTGGTTTAAAGCTTTTTAGTTGCCGTTTCTTTTTTTGGTATCTGTTTGTGGTGATCTAGTGTACACTTCATTCCATTTTTCCCTGTGATCACTAGCTTGAGTACTTAAATGGTGATAGAAGTGAAGCATATTCATAAAGTAATTAGAGTTCTTTGGAAGCTGTACCTATAAACTTATGCAAATCCTATTTATGATAGGTGGTTTTAGTTTAGAAATATTTTGGCTCCTGAATTTGTTTGGCTTTATGTATTTAACAATATTTAATGTTTAAAACTGTTTGACAGTCTTGCTTAAGATTGGCTTTAATGATAAAGAAAGCTAATTTTTAATTTATTTATGCCAGCTTACTTCTTACAAAAAAGAGACCTGGTTTAAAACTTTCTTGTTTTGTAGTAAGATATAATATCAACTTGGGTTTTATAGAGGTTTTTCCCCCCTGACAGTATACAGAGAACTTTAATAAATACAAAATATAACACATACATATCAATCACTGTCATGAGTGATTCAGTACATACCAGTGCATTTTCATTGAAATGAGCAAAATATATTCTATATAGCTCAGAATAAAGAAGTGATATGCTCTAATTTGTATTGAAATAAAAACACATGGCAAAATAGCTAAGTTATTTTTATTTATTTTTTTTTTTTCCTTGTGATAGAACAAGTAAGAAGTTTGCGACAAAGCACTATTGCCAAGCGTTCAAATGCAGCACCTTTAAGTAGCACAAAAAAAGCATCTGGGAAGACAGTATCTTCCCCTAAAACAGGGGTAAGACAACCAGAAAGGTGTCAGATTAAAGAAGAAGTTTGTACATCATTGAAACCTGAGTATCATAAAGACAGCAGAAGGAGCAGTCGGCATATTGGACAAATTGAAGTGGTACCAGAAGTATCAGTGTCTTCAAGTAATGCTTCAGTGTCATCTTGTCTTGAAATGAAGGATGAAGCTGAACTAGATTCTAAGCATAAGTGTAATAATCAGGGAGAAGCAGATGTGCCATCTCATGAATTAAGTTGTCCACTCCTTTCAGAGACTTGTGTCAGTATTGAAGAAAAGAAAAATGAAGCTCTGATGGAATGTAAAATCAAGACTGTTAGTAACCCATTGTTTAAATTTTCAGATAAAGAAGAACATGAACAAAATGACTCCATTTCAGATAAAATGGATGAGACTGTTGTTGAAGAAATGAGGGCAAAGGGAAAAATTGAACAAGAATCAAAGGGGACAGTAAACTTACCCCATGAGGATGACCAGATTGTTGAGCAGCCTGGATCTGCTGCTGCTCTCTCTGGTGATACTGCTTGTACAAATCCAGATAAGACAGAAAAGAACCTTGAAGAGTTGTCTACTTCTGTTGGTGCGGCCACTGAATGTAACTTGGATTTGAATACCGTGGAAGTTGCTGATACAGCTAAGAATCCCCTTCTAAGAAATAAAATAGAACCATTGGGTTATTGTAAAGACACAGAGTATAATGAGAAGCAGTTGCAGAGTACTGAGCTAAATAAATCAGACTTACAGACTGTTGATACTACTGCTTTTGAGCCAGAAAATAATATTTTAGAAAGTGCTGTTTGTGGTGCTCCTGACCAAAATTTGAAAGAGCACGTTCAAAGTATTAAAACAGAACCCAATGAAGCAGCAAACCTTCAGGATGATATAAACAGCCATTCAAGTGGTGTTTCTTGCTTAGAGTCAAAGAACATGAAACCCAAACATATAAAACCTGTAATTCATTCTAAGCAAAACATGACCACAGATACTCTGAAAAAAATTGTTGCACCAAAGCTTGAAGTAATGCCTAACAAAAACAAAGTCAATGTTAAAAGTGTGAAACGAAATGCTGATGGACCAGAATCTCAGCAGAGTTTTCATAGGCCAGTCAAAGTGAGAAAAAAACAAGTTGATAAGGATTTAAAGATTCAGAGTAGCAATTCTGGGGTTAAATCTATGAAAAACCAAGCTCATTTGGTATTTAAAAAAACATCACAGGATCAAAATTTAGTGCAGATCTCTAAACCCTTAACTCATTCTTTCAGTGATAAGCCTCATAGTCATCCTGCTTGCTCTAAAGAATCTCATCATCCAGCACAAACTGGACATTCATTACATTCCAGCCAAAAACAGTGCCATAAGCCCCAGCAGCAGTTCCTAGCAATGAAAACTAGTAGTCACGTGAAAGAAGAGCTTGAACATGTAGGTATAGAACATTTTAAGGAGGAGGATAAACTGAAACTAAAAAAAAACGAGAAGAACCTACAACCCCGCCAAAGAAGAAGCAGCAAAAGTTTTTCTTTGGATGAGCCACCATTGTTCATTCCAGACAACATAGCTACTGTTAAAAGAGAAGGCTCAGATCATTGTTCCACATTTGAAAGCAAATATATGTGGACTCCCAGCAAGCAGTGTGGTTTTTGCAAAAAACCACATGGCAACAGGTGTGTGTGTGTGTGTGTATGCGTGATGTGTATACATTTAAAAGAAATTGCTTTCTTTGGGGTGTGGTTAATGTGAGAATTTTTTTACATGAGAAAATAAATTACTTACCATCCAAAGACTTTTGCAAAAATAAATCCCCCCATTCATCAGTTCTGGATAAATGATAGAAAGATGGAGCCACTGAATTTGCAAATACATCATTGTAGAACATTTTGTAAAACATAGTTTGACCATCAACGGGTATATATGAAAATGTTTTGTCTTTGTAACCAGTTAGTGTAATTTAGTCGTTGCATCTGAAAACACAAAAACTTCGTGCTACACAAAGAAATATTACACTTCTATGGGGCTGTAAGTTATATAATTTTATTTGATTTGAAAAGAACTAGTAATAAAAGTATAACGGTCATAATGGAAAACTTTTTTTTGAAGGATTTGTTGGTTTTCTTTTTTTTTTTTTTTTTGGAAGAAGCACACATAATAGGCCTTAATGTCACCACTTCCTAACTATCAAATTTGACCTTGAAATTTGATAGCTAAGATAATTGTTAGATTACCCAAGTGGAATTTGTATGTAACATGGAACAGAGTGAAAACATGTATTTTTGAATAATTACTTACTTCAAGAATTTCTCGTGAATTCCAAGCTTTTAAAATTTTAGAAGTGATTTTAGTTAGTGCCCTTCATCATTTTTCCTTTGGATTCAGTGTTTTGTATATAAAATTATTTCCTTTACCCGACCTCCTCAGTGTATTTTTTATTTACTTGTGCTTTTTAAGAAAAGAGAGACGAGATGAAGTGGAGTTTGCAGCTACAAGATTATCCTGTTCACGTGTTCAGATTGCTGTTGGAGCTTCTATCAACACTGATACAATAAAAGAATGTTATAACTTATATACTATAATACTGTTCTTACTCAAAAAAGTCAAAGTTAGAGTGACTACTCCAATAATATCAGATTATATTTCATGGTTCTCTTTAGGGAGGGACAGTTTAGTAAAGTGTAATGTCAAACATTGTTTTAGTGGTAGGGCTGAAATTGGGAGAATGGGTGGGAAATGTTGGGGGCTGTTTTGTCAAAAATAACCTGAGGTTTATGTCAAAAGGTTTCTTTTTTTGTGATTCAAGCCATGGTTTATTTTTATCATCAGAGGTTACTTTGTAACAGAACATGATCCAATTTTTTACAGATTGTGACATGGGAATACAGTGTTGCATTTGCCCTCCCTTAGAAAATCTCTCTGGCTTTTGATTTAAAACACCTTATTCAACTATTCTAACTGTAGGGGCTGGCCTAAGTCAATTAAAGGTGGACGTGCTCTTTACTGCTCTTATAAGCCAGCCCTTTTCTCTGTGCCAGAATTTAAAAAAAAAAAAAAAAATCATACTGACGGTTGTTCAGAGAAATGGAGTAAGAGCCTTAAAATGAGTGAGTTTGTAAAATTAAACTGGTATGGATTTGGGAACCGTATTATTTTATACTGTAGCTTTTTGTAGATAAACTTGTATTCTGATCGCCCAGTCTTCAATATTGTGACTAGGCTCTTTTATGGCTGTCAGTTCACCAACATCAGTAATTTTTCTAAAATGAAGATTAGGTGTTATGTCTCATACAATATTTGCCAAGTACCTCCTTTTGTATCTATTCTATAAAATCTGTAGTTTCTTTGCTCCCATCTGGAAAATGACTTAGAATGTTAGCTGTGCAGGAGATTTGAGTTCACCCTGTATCTTGACCTGGGTAATGTATAATATTATTGGAAATGGTCAGTTTTGGAAGCAACATATAATATCACTTCAGTTTTGTGAATAAAGAAGCTTAAGTAATTGATTGATTTTTTTTTCTTTACATATTTGCTATCCATTACTACTTCTTTGATACATTGTTCTTATATATACATGGAATTGATTTAAAAAATACATATTTGACATGCAGCTTGGAATTCTATTTTAATCCATGCGTTAAGAATATAAATTTATAGGATGGAACTATCTTTCATCTCATGCACTAGCCACACTGAAAGCTATTTGTTAATATGACATACTTCCTAGCACTGACTCAGCTTTGTGTCTGAAAAGCTGTTTTAACTTTTCTGCATTTTACATGTATTGCAGTTGAGTGTAGCTTCCTTGCATGTGCATCCAGTTGAAAATTACATTTTGTCATATGGATTTATTCATAAACTGGCTACATATATTTGACCATAGCAGATATGTACATATCACAAAAGACATTAAGTATTGACTTTCATAATTTATAGGCCATGCTGTTTTGCATCTGTTTGTTTTCTTTATTTCAGCTTTACAACAAAGCTACATTAGTTTTTTAAAAACTGGACCACATAATTTTTCTTTTTGAAATAATGAGTGTAGTTGAACTTTTAAAAAACATAAGCCAGTTGGCATTTTGGAAGAAAGATGTCTTAGCCTTTTCATATTATCGTCTTGTGGTTTCTATTATTTCCTTGTCTTCCCAAAAGAGCTTTTTGTGTCTTTGGTTTACAATACAGTTTCTTGATGTAGTTATAGAAGATTAGCATAGTGGATGAAATTAACAAAACAAAATAAACCTCCCTAGCAGAATCAATTCATCATTTTATGCTTAACCAAGAATTATTCTAGAAAAAAATGATTGTTCTCAGTATCATAAGAGTTCTATAGACAGTTTCTCTTTGCAGATTTAGATTCCAAAAAAACAAACCATACCCACTTTCATCGAGTTGATTTGACTCATAGTGACCTCCATTGGGTTTCCGAGGTGGTAAATCTTTACAGAAGTAGGTTGCCCAGTCTTGCTTCCATGGAGTGGCTGTTGGGTTTGAACCACCAACCTTCTGGTTAGCAGTCAGATGTCAGGCACTGTGCTGCCAGAGCTCTTCAGATTTAGATTGTTGTTGTTATTTTGCCGTTGAGTCAGCCCCGACTCATAGCGACCCCTCCTTGGGTTTCCGAGGCAGTAACACTATGGAAGTAGGATTGCCCAACCTTCCTTCCGAGCAGATTTAGATTAGTGACATTAAAACGATTTAATGTTTCTTGGAATAGAACCCTTTCATCTTGGGAAAAAAGTGAGTACATACACATTTACAACAACATGGGCCTATACGGTCATTTAAAGGAAAACACCAAAATTGAAGGCCTGTCTTACAACAGCTACCATTTTGCCTATAACATGAATTTGTGAAATGAGGTAGCAAAGAACAGGAGTTCTTAATGTTGCCTCTAGCTTATTTTGAAGAAATTGAAAATTTTCTAAGAACAATTTTTGGCTTATACAAAGTTAAGATTAGAATTTTAAATTAATTTTTCATAGTCTTAGGATTTTAATTTTAATTTTATATGAATATGTAACACTAGGAGAATATGTTGTTGAATTTTTCAATTAACGCATTCATACTGCTCTGTTTTGATTAATTGAAAGAGCCAAAGTCTACATAACATGTGTTTTTAGTGAAAGAAAATAGAACATGCAGGTTATTTAGTATTTTCCTTAAATGATTTTTGCCTATTAGTAAGGAGAAGTTCAATAACAAGATAGAAAGTGGGACAGTAATTCAGTTAGCATTATAGCCCATATGTTTTTAAAGCATGAAAAACAACATGGAAAGAAATTTAATTTTTTGTGGTAGGCCATCTTTCTTTTAAAATGATTTATTAAGTTCATATTACTCCTGTTTTATATCTAAAAATGATCCATACTTAACATCAGTTACATTCATTTTAAAGTAAAATACAGTATTCCCTAGGATGTGAAATTTTTTAATACCCCCTTGATTTTTCAGGAAATGTTGACTGCTTATCTCTTACATAAAATGTATTTTAATGCACATCTGTAGATGGTACTAGAAATGTGCTTTTCAGAGTCTTTAAAGTCCAGGGGAGACATAGCCAAAATAAAATGAGGCATGGTGAAGTAATTGATAAATTTCACAAGTGAAACCACTCTTCCCTCGTCAAATAAAAATTTAAAAAATCCTTAAGATCTCCTTTAGGATTTGACATTTATATATGTCTTTGGGGCGAAAGTATAGTACACGTTTTTAATTAAGCAATTCCTTATTGAGACAAACTCACTGCTGTGGAGTCGGATCTGACTCATAGCAACTCCTCCTTGGGTTTCTGAGGCAGGATCACTGCAGAAGTAGATTGCCCCATCGTCCTTCTGAGGAGTGGCTGGTGGGTTTGAACCACCAGCCTTCTGGTTGGCAGTCAAATGCCTTAGACACTACGCCACCAGAGCTCCTAAAGTGAGACTAAGGGAGGTTAAAAGGAAATCGCTGCTAGCTTTCCTTCAGTATTTTGAAGACATTCTAATTAGATGGTTGCTTTTAAGAAATAGCAGTTTTTGTTTCTTTGCAACCTGAAATGGAAGCACTTTTTAAGCACTGCATTATTCAAACCTTTTTTTTCCTGTTGGCTTGAAGATCTGTGTCCTTGAAGTGTTACAGACCCATCAAAAATCTTCCCAAACCATGAGAAACCATTTCTGTGCTGCAAGCAAAATGACATTGAACGTTTATCAGGCTTGTAGATTATGAATCATTGGGGTGATGGGGGTTTGTAAAGAGAGCAAAGGCATCACGGGGTAAAGAATGATGTGTAGGTACAAAGAAGTTGAGTCTCCTTAATGCACAGCCAGTTGTTCGGTATGCTAGAAAGAAGAGAAGAAATTACTGCTCTTCAGGAGTGAAGTGTTGTGTGTGCCTTTTTTTAAAGACACTCTTAAGAATTGAAACTCACGTTCTAATTTTTATAGTTCCACTATTAGAACACCTCTCCTGATATTTAGGGAGAGTGGCTATATCATCGAGTATATTACCTTTAACATCCTTCCTACTGGACCACAGCTTATTAAAGGGAGTTTTGACACTGCTTATGCAGTATCATCTAAATCAGTAGCACAATGTCTCCTTTAATAAGGAATATGTATACTTAAATCTTTTTATCGTAATCTTTTTAAACGTTCCATGAATTGCCAGCCCAAAGAAAGAAAACTGAAAATGTTAAATGTTTTTATTTTAAATGAATTTTATAGTTTCTTAACAGTTTAAAAGTGTATTAAATTCTTAAATTACCATTTTATGTAATCTGATTTGCCATTCAAAAGAATTCTGAGTACTCATTCTAAGAAAAACAAGCATTTTAGAGTTACAAATCTTTCGTCTTTGTTCTGTTGCTATTGGTTAGTGAAATTAATTCTTAGATAAAGTGCAGTAAGGGGAAATTTTTTAATAGGATTGTTTCAGACTTTACTGATAAGTTTTTAAAAATTCAACCTGAATATTTGTATCTTCATGTTAAGGTACTGATCTTTGTTTGGAAACACAAGTTTATTATCTAAAACACATTATTAACAGTAAGAAATTCTTCACACTCAAAAGTACAGAGTTTTCAGTTGGATCATTGAGAATTTCTGAATCAATGTTTTGAGCTTAAAAAATATGTAGTTAAGATATTTAATAGTTAAGGTTTTGAGTAACTTTTTTTTTTTTAATTGGTACTGTTTTTGGAGTTTTTCAGTCATTTAAAATGATTTGCTGGCTAAATGGTTCTCCCCTATGTTTCATATAGGATTTTAGGTCTGTGTAGTAATATAGCTGTAACTTTAATGGATTGTCTGTTATCAGATTATCACAGAGATCATCTTAATGGGGAATTGTTATTCTATAGTTTGGTTATTGCCCTTTGTTGTCATCCTTGTGGGTTTTTGTTTGATTTTTATTTTTTCTGTATATTCATACCAGAGGAGAAATAGTTTGAAATCTTAAAATTCTATTTGTATAGAATATTCTTTTTATTGAAAGCTGTTCTTTGAACTTATGGAATGGGTAAACTTGGAAAACAGAGGATCTCACAAAATCAAGTATTGTAAACTTTATTTAGATGTACTTTGGCAATGGCTTTTAAAAAGCTGTATCAAATCAAAGTTTCTTTCCCCCCACCTCCAGGTTTATGGTTGGCTGTGGGAGATGTGACGACTGGTTTCATGGTGATTGTGTTGGGTTAAGTCTTTCCCAAGCACAACAAATGGGAGAGGAAGACAAAGAGTATGTGTGTGTGAAATGTTGTGCTGAAGAAGATAAAAAGACTGAAATATTAGATCCAGATATTTTGGAAAACCAAGCTAAAGTTGAAATTCATAGTGAAGATAAAACAATGGAGTATGAAAAGCTTGGGTTATCAAAGCACACATCAGCAAATGAAAAAAACAAATACATAGATGATACAGTGAAGCACAAGGTCAGAATTTTAAAACGGGTAAGCTCATGAATGTGTTCTTTTATTTTTAAGCACTTCATATATACTGTATGAGAATTTTGAAATTTTTCTTTAGGTTTCACTGTTCCACTGCATTTTCAAATTTATTTTTCCGTAAAAATTCACGGGTTTTTATTTTGAATTTTTTGGTAATTCTGATGAAACTCATGGTGATACTTGCAGAATAGTCAGGTCTTACGTTCTTGTGCTGTTTAGTTTCTTGGATTTGCTTTGTGTATAATATTTGTGTGTGACCTTATGGAATTAAATATAAATTGTACTTACTGATAAGTTTTTCAGAAAGGTTTATAGCCTGTAAATCTCTACCAGTTCTTAATATTTTCAAGTGGGAAAGCTGTTTTCTCTGTAAGGAAAAATAATCTTAACTCTTTTGATCATTGTTCCAGTGTTTGCTTTGTGTCTTCACCTCATAATTTTTTTCTTAAAATGTAGACTTTTAAAGTTGTCACTTTTCCGTGGTTTTGTATTTTTAACCATTCTTCAAAAGTATTTTCTAAATTGAAATTTCAAGATATTTAGTCTCTAATAAGAGAAAAATATAAAGAACAGGCACTTCATGGGATAAAATTTTCTTTATTTTCATTGTCTACCTTTTATTATCTATGACTTTTATAATCATTGTTCTTGTATAGTTAGAGTGATTAAAGATTAGTGCTAGGAAAGAAATACAGTGACAATAAATGTATGTAGATATACAAGTATTGTACTCCAGACGACAACATGAATTTCAGAGTTGGAAGGAATTTACAAATCTTTTGCCCAAACGTTCTGATTCATTAATATGCTATATAGCATTTCTAGTAAGTGATGACCTAGATTCTATTTAAAAGGCATTGCACGGTAATACATACGTCTTAATTTCCAAGCAGCTGTATTTGTTGGAAAGTTCTTCAGTTTGAACTGAAAGTTGCATAGCTGAAAACTTTTTTAGTTTTCTGAAGTCTCCTGAATAAATTGTTGTTGTTGTTATGTGCCGTCGAGTCAAACCTGACTCATAGCGACCCCTCCTTGGGTTTCCGAGGCAGTATCACTACGGAAGTAGGATTGCCCAACCTTCCTTCCGAGGAGTGGCTGGTGGGTTTGAACCACCAGCCGTCTGGTTAGCAGGCAAGTGTCTTAGCCACTATGCTACCAGAGCTCCCTAAATAGGCAAGGTAATTAATATTGAAGAGCATGAGTATGTTTTCCACATCATTTACAGACTCAATCCTTTCAGACACTTAATCTTCTGGATTAAGCTCCAGTTTGCCAAAATCCTCGTGCCAGTCAACATTTTCTGTCTTCCAAGAGTTTTTGAAGATCAAGTTCTGTTCTTCTGATATTTGCTATTGCTACATCTGTTGTTTTAATTAGCATCAAATTAATTGATAATATAGACCTGAGAGCCACCTCAAAGACAGTTTTTAGCATGCCTCAGAAAGCTTTTATTTATCGTTAACTATTTATCATCACTTGTATACAATTCCTTGACCATGTAGACCATCATATTGTCAGTTCAGTTGTCTCCATCGTACCAAAAAAGATACTAAAAATATTAAGATTGTTAATATTTTGAGAAACTCCTGTACAAATCTAATATGTAATAACCGAAATGAAAATGAGGGTAGTCTGATTTTTAATGCATGCCTCATCACAGTGATTACTGCTTCCTCTTCTTTTTGATGATGGTCTATTGAATATTATTGGGACTTGTCTGATTTTAATTTTTGGAATCTGCTTTTCAAACGTCATTTGTTTTCTATGGAAATGACTAGGCGGCAGTGAGTTTGGCTTTTTTTGGTTGTGGTACTGTAGAAAATAGGTACTTGACAAATTAATGTTAAATAAAAGGTCAGTCTTTTTTGCTGATAATTGAGAGCTGCTATCATACATCTTTGTAAAAATCCTTTAAACATTGCTGGTTTAAAGAATAAAATATGTTTGATACCTTAATTGGTTTTAATATTAATTCGGTATGTTTTTTTTTCCATCTACATACCCTTGAAATTTTGTTTACATATAAAGATAATTTAGTAGTTTTCCTTCTAATGAATTACATACTCTTTTCCAGGAATGTAGTGAAGGCAAAAACTCATCAGAATGTAGAGATAATGAGATTAAAAAATGGCAGCTAGCTCCTGTTCGAAAGATGGGGCAACCAGTTTTACCTCGGAGATCCTCAGAAGAAAAAAGTGAAAAAATAGCAAAAGAGTCTACAACTGTTATTTGCACAGGAGAAAAAACTTCAAAACCAGGTAGTGAGATTAAAATAATTATGTACCTAATGTATATGATCACGATGTATATGATCACACAGTGATCGTATGTCAAAGAACATGTACAGAAAGAGAATAGGAGAAGGGGCTAACAAAGGCAGAGGTGCTTCTGTAGGCAAGCATTTTATGTCCTGTACAGAATTAGTATAGTTAGGGGATTTTTTTTTTTTAATGGCAATAAAAACAGTTTAGGTGATTGACCTTACTTGAAATTAAAAACTATTGCTTTAAATTCTGAGAGTTAACTGGTGAACTAAATAAGGTTCTTGGCTTTGTGACACTTAAATATTAATGGGAGAAGACAGGCAATAAGTTGATAGAGAATGATACATCATTTTTAGAGTTTAGGCATTATGAGGAAAAAGAGTAATGGGATTGTCACTATCAGGAAGAGGAGTGGAAACTGTTTCAGGTGGAATGGAGGGAGGTACATTGTACTGAGTTTACAAGGGCTTAGTGTGAAGAACCATTTGGAGTAGAGCACAGACCACACTTGTAATGGTGTGATCAATAGGTGTTTATTACTTACAGAATAAATGGGACAGGGGTGAGTAGCACAGCAGACATCATCATCAGCCAAGATTTCCTGAAGTTAGGCTACCATTCCCAGGTGGGATGTTGTGATCGCATTCAGGTGGTGCCCTACCTTACACCATGGGTGAAAAACCCAGAAGCCCTTCTCTCTTGGGCTTAATATACTAGCAGGCTGCAGTATTCATGTATCAAAGAACATGTACAGAAAGAAAATAGGGGAAGGGGGTTCTGCAGGCAAGCACGCTACACATTGCCTGTCCCCTGCTCAGGGTATGTGACCATCTCCTGATCAGCTCTTCTAGACTTAAGGGCATCAGTGAACAGTCTTTCCTCCTTTATACTACTAACATAGGCAATTTTGGATCTCTTAGAGGGCAATTATCTCCCCCTGAGGCACATACCTTGTGTCCATTAGTAGCTGTTACGGCCATTAATAACTATGGAGACAGTGTCTTTGGAGATGATCAGAGTACAGCACACTTGTGCACCCAGTGGGTGGTAACTTGTGAGGTGAGGTTTGAAAGGATGTAAAATTTTGGGGGAAGAGGGACTAGGGAGGGAGCATAAAGTTTATAGACCTTGAAGTAGAAATAGTCTTAGCATTTGAGGAAAAGAAGATCGTTTTGGAGGGAGTGGAAGGTAATGCATAGAATGGTAGAAGAGGAAATCAGAGGAAATTAGGCGGGATTTTTGGGCCATGCCAAGAAATTGACATTTTATTTTGAATGTAATGAGAAGTCTTTAGAGGATTTTCTGCACTCTGATTGCTCTGGAGATTGAACTGTAGATGTGTGAGAGAGAAAGTAGATAGATAAATTTGGAGTCTATTGTAGTTTCAGAGGAAAGAAATAATGGTAGTTTGGACCAGAGGTACAACAGAAGCAGAGGGAAGTGGTTAAATTCAGATATATTCCTAAAGTAGAGTTGACAGAACTTGCCAATGGATTAGATATAAGTAGATGAGGGAAAGAGCATCTTAAGGATAATTGGGTAAATGTTGGTGCTGTTTACTAAGTTCAGAAGAAATGAAAGAAGATTTGGGGTGGAAAATGAAAAAATACATATGTTTTGGGCATTTAACATTGGTAGGGCTGTTAGACATCCGCATGGAGATGTTTGAGTAAACTCTTGGCTGCTAAGTCTGGTGTTCAGAGAAGATTTTGGGGGCTGGTACATAAATTAGAGATGATCAGAGCATAGTTTTTATTTAAAATAATGGATGTAGAAGTAAATACGTATAAAGAGAGTTCAGTAGTGAAGAGATAGAAGCAGAATCTGAGGGGAGCATCGGCATTTACAAGTTGGGAAAGGGAGAGAATCAAGCAAAGGAGACTGTCAGAAAAGGTGGTCTGTGAGGTAAGAGGAGAACCAAGAGATCATATGGCCAAGAATTCAGGTCAGGTTTCAAGGAGGGGGTGGATCAAGTGAGTCACATGCTGTCTGGTCATCTAATATTGTGAACACAGGTTGACACATCTGTGACATAGCAAATGGAGAACATTGGTGAACTTCATTAGAATGGTTTTGGGGGACCATGGGGACAAAAGCCAGTTTTAGTGTCATGGAAGAATAGAGGGGAAAGAAATGTGGGTTATCAATTACAGGTAACTTTTTCAAGGAGTTTTACTGTTCAGTGGAATGGCAATGATGTGGTAGCAGAAGTGGATATAGGGGTCAAGGGATGTTTTATAAGGAGATAATTATGGCATGCTTGTAAAACTGATGGGGATGATCCACTAGAAAGGGAGAAATTTATAATGCAGGAGAGAAAGGTGATGTAAAGAAAAAAAATCGACAAAGACACAAGATGGGATGAGTTGCACACACCACATGAAAGGTTTGGTCATAGAACAGGACCAGTTCATCTGCTGTAATAGAAGGGAAGGCTTTATGTGGAGGGAAGACAGATACAGATAGATTATGGTAACAAGAAGATGTGATAGCTGACATTTCTGTTTTCTCAGTGTAAAAAGAAATGAGAAAATTAAATGACGGTTGAAGTTGGAGAAAGAAGTATTTTTCGTTTGGGAAAAGAGGGAAAAAAAAGTATGCAGTAGATAGGTTCGAAAGGGGGAAGAACAAATTTACTAGGAAAATTTAATAAGATTGGAGCAGCAAATTGAGGTACTTACTTGAGATTTATGGTTATACATTTAAGTGAGATCTGTTGGCACCAGTGTTTGTTTTTCTCCATACACCTGCAGCTATTTGTAGACTATTTGGGTGAAGCATGAAAGTTGACTTTCACCATGTTTATGGTTTTTCCAACACAGATATTTAAGGTAGAGCAAATTAAAGGTGTTAAAGGATGCAAGGAAGTGGTAATAGTGTTGGATTGTCTAATCAGAATTGAGTATGTGGATAAATGAGAACATGAAAATGGTTAAAATGATAAATGTAAACGTTAGAATGAGAATTTTAGAATAAATGATGTAGTATGATAATAGCAGATAGTAGTAGAGTAGTGGGATGTTTGATACTGAGAATTTGGAGATGCTCAGGAATTAGTGATTACGGAATAAAAAAATATCATTAGAGAAGTTTAACACTCAATAACGTTAACCACATTTAAACCACAGGAGAGTCATACATTTTGTGGATATTAGTAAGGTCATGAAGTTATCTGCCCAAATAATAAAAAGTTCGGATGAGATTTTCTAAATAGCTTTTTAAAAAAAGTTAATAAATATATCTGAAAAGTAACCATCTCTGAAAGTTGTTACCTAAAATGGGGGAAAAAAAAAAGTATATACGTTATAGCTGTAGGGCCACTTTCTAGTGACTTAGTCAATTTTATTTATAACTTACTCATGTAGTATAATGGAAAAATAACTTTTTATAAACAATTTCTTAAGTTTGACACTTATTTGAATTAGGTGCTCATGAGAAGCAAGAGATGAAAAAGAAGAAAGTTGATAAAGGGGGAGTGCCCAATGCGCATCCGCCTGCCGCTTCTGCTTCCAAACCTTCGGCAGATCAGATCAGACAGAGTGTCAGACATTCTCTCAAAGACATTCTGATGAAAAGGTAACAAACTACTGTTGACTAGGATTGAATAATATCCTCTTCAAGTGTTTGAAAAGTAATTGAATTGTTTTAATTTTAAGACTTACAGAATCAAATTTGAAGATACCAGAGGAAAAGGCTGCAAAAGTTGCCACGAAAATTGAAAAAGAGCTTTTCTCTTTCTTTCGGGACACAGATGCTAAATATAAGAACAAATACAGAAGTTTGATGTTTAATCTGAAAGATCCTAAGAACAATGTAAGTATGTTTTATTCATTTCTATGGATATTTATACTTGAAACTTCCCTGAATGCAAAGGGATCCAAGAATGTAATATAATAGATCTATAATTTATTTTTTGGGGTGAAACCATAGAATTGCCTTTTGAATTAGAACATGTCATTTTAATAAAGTCCTTTTGCTGCTGACCTGACTGAATTCTGCATAGTAGTGAGTGGTGTTAGAGAATGGGTCTAATTTAAGTATTAAATACATCTTAACTTGATTTGTGTGAATTCTCTATTCTTTATTGTCCCTTTTGTTAAACTTACTCCTCACTTAGCAACTATCTTGTTATCCAGCATTTTGCATTTATGACAATAGCAAAAATTCTACTATTTGACTATTTTGTGCATTAACAGCATTATGTCTGGCAGTAAAAAACGTGATGTGCAAACTGAGAGTAACATTGAGTGTGATGGTTAAGGTTATTTGTCAGTTTGCCTGGGCCATGATTTACAGTGGTGTAGTAGTTATGCAATGATGAAATTTGGCAGTTATATAATGATATGGTCATCCTCCATGTTGTGATCTTATGTGGTCAACCTCTATTTTCACATACTGACCTGGTCTCTGGAACCTAACCATGTTGATAAGTAAGGAATGTATATCTTAACCTATGCATTATCAAAAGCTCTATTATACCAAAATTCATAATAATATTATTACTTTTGATTTAAGTCTGAATATAGAGCTGAATTAAAATTAATTCAGTTAGATGAAAAGGAAAACTAAAGCATTTTTACTAAATTGAATATAACTTTAGTTCTAAATATCTTTCAGCAGTAGAGGAAACATTAATTGAACCCCCAATCTTTCCTGAAATTTCTTGTGACTTAGTGAAATCTAAAAGCTGTGTGTGTGTGTCCACATGTTTGGGCACATGTGCATACCTGAACCAAAAGTATGTCTGAGTAGTGCACTAAACAAAACTGATGCCATTGAGCATTTTAAAAGTTCAGAGTGTGACATGATCCCTTTGGTGTAAATTTGACCTGAGTCCAACAGAGGTTTTACTACAGATGACTCAAGTGATAGTTAGATATAATTAGATGCAAATTTCTGTCATAGTTGCTTCAGTAATACAAAGTTTTCACATAAGTGACATAAATTTGTTTATATAATGATACTTGCTATGGTATGCAATATGAGGTAATTTTTTGAAGTGTGCTTACAGCTACTTGAGGAGCTCTGGTGATGCATTAGTCAAAGCATTCAGCTGCTAACTGAATGATCACCAGTTCAAACCCTCTAGCCACTGTATGGGAGAAAGGTGAGGCAATGTGTTTCCATAAAGATTGATAGCCTTGGAAACACTTCGGGGCAGTTCTCCCCTGTCTTGTAGGGTTGCTGTAAGTTGGAATCGACTCGATGAAGGTAGGTTTGGCTTGTTTGGTACAGCTACTGAAGAAAAACTATCAGGAGGGACCAGTCCCTGGAGAAGGCATAATGCTTAGTAGAGGGTCCGCAAAAAAAGAGGAAGACCCTGAAGAAGGTGCATTGACACAGTGGGCTTATTGACAAGGATGGCACAGGACCAGGCAGTTCCTTGTTCTGTTGTACATAGGTTTTGCTGGGTAGGAACTGACTTTATGGCACCTAGCAACAAAAGCTTAAGAATACATTGTGCAGTATCTGCCATCATGGTCCCATAGAATCAGATACTTCTTGATTACATAACTTGTAAGCTTTTCTTCAGTGAGCATATAAGGACTGACTTCGTTTAGATTTTTTTCCTGCAGTTGGTTCTTTGCTCTGGAATCCCCTCCAATATCCCCTTTGAACACATAAAATCTTAAAAATATGAAAAGGCATTACATTTGGTAGAGCTGTTTTATGCAATGCCTTGCTGTATTGTAGGCTGTCTATTATGATGGTCAGAGTCTGTCCCAGGCTTAGTAGAACTTTTGATTAGCTATTATCATGGTTCTGCTGTACATGATTTTCCATTATGTGTTGATTTTTTTAAAATGAAATAGATGCTTTGCTTGTCTGACATGATATAACTTCTTGGAATTCAAGACTGTCATTTATTCTTTGTGTAGTAGGTAATATATGAAATATTGAACGTCTGTAAATCAGGTTTGAAAATTAGGTTTTTATTATTACAAGTTCCTCTATAGTAGTTCATCTTCTTTTTCTTAAATCTTTATCTCTCCTTTTCTCCCCATTTTTAAACATTTCCAGATATTATTTAAAAAAGTACTGAAAGGAGAAGTAACCCCAGATCATCTTATAAGAATGAGTCCTGAAGAACTAGCTTCTAAAGAGTTAGCTGCTTGGAGACGAAGAGAAAACAGACATGTAAGATTATCTGTGAATATGCATTTGGCTATATCAAAACCCATATTTTTTAGCCATAGGGGGAAAATTTTACAGAGGTAATTCAGCACAGATTGCACAGTAACCCAGATTTTTTTTTTCTGTGCTGCTTCTGTTTTGTTTACTTAACCTCCATTCCTCTAGTTTTAAATTCTTCTGTATTTCCAGATCTGTGCAGCTCTTCTCTTATTCCCTCCCATTGTCAAGTTACTGAATGACCTTGTGTTTTGTTAATGTATTTTATAAATTATAAGGATGAAGAAAAAGATTACCATTTTTCCTTAATCACACCTTTCTTTTCAGAAGCACAGTTTGAAGGCATTATAAATATTGGTAATATATAGAGTCGTAGAATGAAAATTTACGTACATTTACAATTTCCTTATAATTTTGAATGCAAAAGCTTTGAAAAATAAGGGTTTTTTTTTGGTAATTTATTTGTTGATAAAACCTGACCTGATCTGTATGAATCACCATATTTATAGAAAAAATGGGTGTTTAATTATGAGTGCTGTTAGTGTTATGAAAATAATATGTTACATGTGTAACTGTGGCATTTTTAAAACCAAAAGAATTTGAAAGTCATTGATGCCAGGAGTTTTCATTTGGGGATTATGAACTTGAAGTATCTGAAGATTATGGGATATGTGACTTATAGTTATTATCATAGTGTGATAGCCATATTATCTGATAATTTTATTACAGTTACCTCAGAATATTAGCCTTTTATTCTAGAAAATACTGGTTATTGAACCCTGACATTATATTTCACATTAACTTTATATTATTTTACCTAATTCTTTTGTTCATAATCCTTACGTGCATCTCAGGCATTGATCCTCAATGTAGATCCTGTGCCAAGTATAGTTTGAAGCACAGTATTCACATATTCCTTATCTTCACCTTGTATATCTTCTCTTTTGAAAACTGTGTTACCACCTTTTCTTTCCCTCCATAACCCCAAATATGAACATGTCTCATTTCTGCTTTGAAACTGCCTACAAACTCCTCTATGTTAAAGACTAGCCTATATTTCTTTTAGGCCATGTCCTTGATTTTTTTCTTTTTTTTTTTTTTTTTATTAGGATT